CTGAGGAAGACCGGCTCTGAGCTAACGTCTATTGCCAATCCTCCTCGTTTTTTTTCCCCAAAGCCCCAGTAGATAGTTGTATGTCATAGTTGCACATGTTTTCCCCTCTATTAGGCACTTATGTGGCACTGTAATGATGGATCGTCCTTGTCCTACTATCTGCTGGCCTTGCTCCTGTTTCCGGGAAATCCCACCATGTACTCCTCGAGAATGGATGGATAGTCCTCACGACCCGCCTGTTTCACAGTCTAGCGAAACCCGGGGCTGGCGTCTGGGCGCCTCATCCCTGGCTCTGCAGGACACGGAGGGCCTCGGGCGGCAGCTCACCCGTTTCCAACCTGCAGGACACGGTACCCAAAATGCCTCCCGGCGTCTGGGAAGGAGAAGTTTTGCACGTGCCTCACGTCCAGGTTGTAGCTGGAGGCCGGGGCTGAGGGAGAGAGGGGCACCTCAGCCACTTCCGCCCGGGGACCCTGCGCGCCCCAGAGCTGTGGGCCCTGATTGGCCGCCGCCCACGTGCCCCAAGCAGCAGACCCACAAGAAACCCGCTCCCTCCTTCCCACGCCGCCCACGCCCTGAGGCAGAGCTGGAACGTGCCCCCTTGGACTTCCCCTCAGAGCCTTGACTCTGGGAAATCTGGAAGCAGCGCCTCCCCGTGCGACCCAGAGCTCTGACAGCGCCAGGACCTGGGAAGGACACAACAACTTCCCTTTTGGCTTCTCAGCAAAGAAGGAAGGGTGAGAAGGCGGAGGCCCGTGAGATAGGAGCAGAGGGAAGGGGCCCCCTGATGCGATGGTGATGCCCCAAGGCAAGGTGCATCTCCCCACACACCCACTTCTCCCTCGGGCCTGGGGCCCAGGCTCGCTGAGAACTCAAATAATTAGCCTCAGGCTTCCTCCCACAGACTTAGGGTTTCAGGATCCCCTGATCCCTCCAAAGCTGCTTCCTCACTCATCTAATACTCCCTCACTCCCCACCCCACCGTGGACCAGTCTCTTCGTTAACCATTAGATCTCGGTTTCCCCCATCCCATCCCCCACCTCAGGCAGCCTAGGCATCATCTGCAAACCCCAAACTGTCTTTTCTGGGCCTTCTTTCCTTCCAGGCATCAGGCTTATTTCACAGCATCCTAGGATGTCAGAGATGCTGGCCGGCCATTTGTTCAGATGAAGAGACTGACGCCCAGAAAGGGGAAAGGACTTTCCTAAGATGGCACAGAGAGTTAGTACCACAGGTAGGACCAGCCTCCAGCCCACCTCTAGGTACCCATTAACTATCTGCCTTTTTTAAAGGCCCACTCCCCATCTCTAACTGTTGCCTCCTGTGTCTCCCTTTTCTGTCTTTTCCTCCATACCTTGCCTATACTTTGGATTCCAACGTTCTTTTCCCTCTTCTCCGGGATTCCTGGGCCCCACATTACCCATGTCCAATCCCACCCTTAGAGCAGCTCCTCCTTTACTCCAGTTCCATAAAGCCCTGCAGTCTCCCTGGTCACAGGCACATGTCCCTTCCCCTCCCCTCCTCCCTTGCCTACCAAAGAGAAAAGTCCCAGACAGCAGCAGCCTCATTATGATGATGCAGGTGTTCATCTTTCAAGCGGCTGGAGGGACCCAGCCCCGGCTCAGCCTCAGAGGGCCCTCGAGATTTGCTGGCAACCTAGACAGGGTGAAAGAGAGAAATGATAATGCTCCAGGGCCTCTTGCAGTGGAACTTTCTCACAGAGGCGCCAGGCTGATGACACTGGGTGGGTGGGAGAGGGGGGTTGTGCCTGTAAGTGTTGTGAAACCGCACGGTTCAGAGAGGAAGTGTAAGCAGGTTAGAGACATTTCCTGCTCCTGCTTGCATTTTCATATCATCTAGAAGTAGACAGCACAGTAGTTGACCCTTCTGCCCAAGAGCTGCTGCGTCTTAGTCTTTCACCAACATAGGAACTTAAGGTTCTTTACAGCTCAGTAGAGGACAGGTCAATAAACTGTAGTACAACCATAGTGGAATGCTATGTAGCCACAAAGAAGCATGAGGAAGAAAGAAAATAAGATGGGGGGGAAAAATGAGATAGCTTTCTCTTGACATTGAAAGATGCCCATGATACACTGTTGAAAAGATGTTCCACATCATTAGTCATTAGAGAAATGCAAATCAAAACCAAAATAAGATACCACTTCACGAGATACCACAAGCTTGGCTAAAAAAGAAAGGAAATAATAAAAAAGAAGGAAAATAATAAGTGTTGGTGAGAATGTGGAGAATTGGAACCCTTGTTCATTGCCACTGGGGAGGTAAAATGGTGCAGCTGCTGTGGAAAATAGTTTTTGATAGTTTCTCATAAAAGTTAAACATAGAGTTACCATATAACCTAGCAGTTCCTAGGTATAGACCCAACAGAAGGGAAACGTGTTCATACAAAAACTTATACATGAATGCTCATAGCAGCATTATTCATATTAGCCAAAAACTGGAAACAATGCAAATGTCCGTCAACTGATGAATGGATAAAGAAAATGTGGTATATCCATACAATGGAATATTATTCAGCCATAAAAAGAATGAAGTACTGGTACATGCTACAACGTGGACAAACCTTGAAAACATTTGCTAAGTTAAAGAAGCCAGGCACAAAAGGGCCTGGATCGGGGAGTGGGGAGTGGGGAGTGACTGCTAATGGATATAGTGTTTCTTTTTGGGATGATGATATGTTCTGGAATTAGATATTGGTGATGTTTGCACAATTCTGTGAATATATTAAAAAACCATTGATGAGTTTTATAGTATGTGAATTATATCTCAAAAAATAAAAAACGAAAAATAGAAGTTGAAATTGTGTGTGTGTGTGTGTGAAAAATCTGAAGGGACACAATCAAACTCCAAACAGAATAAGGTTTATACATTTCTGTGTTGTCTGATTTTTTTTTTACAATGAGCATGTATAACTTGGGTAACTTTTTAAAAATAAAAATATTAGGGCCGGCCCCATGGCTTAGTGGTTAAGTGCGCGCGCTCCACTGCTGTTGGCCGGGGTTCAGATCCCGGGCGCACACCGACGCACTGCTTCTCTGAGGCCGCGTCCCACATACAGCAACTAGAAGGATGTGCAACTATGACATACAACTATCTACTGGAGCTTTGGGGAAAAAAAGGAGGAGGATTGGCAATAGACGTTAGCTCAGAGCAGGTCTTCCTCAGCAAAAAGAGGAGGATTAGAATGGATGTTAGCTCAGGGCTGATCATCCTCACAAAAAAAAAAAAAAGTAAAAATATTAAAAACACAACAGAATAGAGGAAGTTTTTTTTTGTTTCTGGGAAAGTGGGAAGGGCACTGAGATTCTCCCTGTGTTGTGAGGAAATCTTGCACAACCTGCAAGGCCACTTCCAGTGCCACTGCCACGGGGAAGGCTTCTGCAGGCAGATTATCTATAATCTACCACTACACAGTTACAACACGACAAGTTGGCTCACGGTAATCAGATAATGGCAGATAGTGTTTTTCAAATTCAGTTCAAATCAGATAAGTCAGACTGATTTCTTTGCTTCTCTCTACAGCAGTTCCAATTTACATCTAACCAAATTCTCTTGTTTTGTTCTAAAATTTCAAAAAGAATATACATCTTAAAATTCAAACATTAAAAAAGTGTGTAAAGTAAAAGAATAAAGACATCCTTTTAACATCCACCTCCCACTCCTAAATCTCAAGAATAACCATTGTTAACAATTTGGAGTCATACATTCTTCATACAAAAAATTGTTAGTTCTAGTAGTTAACCATACAGGTTTGACCTGTTTGGGAAAACCGTAATTATCTCACCATAGAACATCTAAGCCGGAATTAATAGTCAAATCAGCCATCTCAAGCGTGAAGGTGTTTTGTGCTGATCTCAGCCCATCAATAACTAATGTTGTGATTAGACTAGCCCTTGTGGTTCCTATTATGATTGCAAGATGCCCTCTGGCAATAACCATCAGGAAACTTTGAAAAAATAATTGTTGATTACTTACAAGACCTGGCAATTACATAGCACACCTGGGGCCACACAGCGAGTTCATGGGGAGAGACAGAGAGAGAGAGAGAGAGAACACGCACACAGGTCTGGGGTTGTACTTTTATTGGAGTTAAGGGTGAGGACCTAAGGTTTCGTAGGCTCACTCTTTATTGGTGAGTTTAAAACATAAGATTGGGAATTTGAGCAGGAAGAAAAAAAAAAATAGTCCAAACGGTCAGTTATTGAAATCAACCAAGATCTCTAAAACAAAGGATCCTCAGTGGGGGGAGAAGGCCCGGTCTTTTATCTAGTCATGTGACTGGCAGTGTATTTATTTGAGATAGCCCTCTTTGAAGTGGATGCCTTGGCAAGCAAAGCTTAAGTCAGGCACTTGCATTACAAAAAAGGAAAAAAAAAAAAAACTGTCAGAGCTTACACTATGATCCACCCAGTAATGCTGAGACATGGGTCAATGGTGAGGACATTAACTGCCTGAGTAGCTGATACGCTAAAAGTCAGGGGTAGGACACATTTTAACCCAGAAAGTACACATCTAAATAGGATTATAGTAGCAAAATCCTATAATAATTATACAAGCAATACTGTAGTCTGAAATCCAGTCTATAACCATTCTCGCGAACTTGAAAGAGTCCCAAAATGAAACTAAGTCAGTGATCTCAGGGGCCCTAGGAATCTCTTCAAAGATTTGGGTAATACTGTGAAATATTTCAACACCTTAAGCCATCTAATCTAAGTAGGTTTGAGCCTGTCCTGAGTTGGTAGATTGCTCCATATCTCATTGACTTAGTCTCTTAGTCCTGATAATAGGTCAGTTCAGTTAAAGGGTTGTGTTTCATTTCAGAAGCTGGTAATGCAGGTGGATTCCCCAAGTTAGGCCTATATTATACCAGCTCAACACAAGGCTGACATAAGGGAAGCCATATTGTAGAAAAGAAACCATATTATAACTTTGAATGACCTCTGACTAACTAACCCAGCTGGATAGGCACCCTCCAGGAGATCTACCTGCTCTGTAGATTTTATGAACCCTGCTTGTGCATGTACCTCCCGGTGGCGATAAGATGATAACTTTGTTCTTTTGCATTTTTTAGGAACGTGATGACCCCAGACGGAGAGTCTATCTGGTGTGGCGACTCAGTCTATAACACCAGAGGGTCAACATTCCTAACCCTATCCCCTATAATCCCCTGGCCTATATAACTGCCTCAAGATTCTGTGTCCCCCTTAAAATGGTTCTTCAGGATGCTAGTCCCCCAATCTTCCGATTTTCTAGCTTATTGCTTAACAAATGCCCTTTCTCTGCCACGGTCTTGCCTCTTGATGATTGGCTTTTGTCTTGCAGTGAGCACATCATGCCCTTGGTGTGGTAACATATATGGTGCAAGTACTTGCATCAAGTATCTAATAAGAGGCATTCAATGGAAACAAAAGAAAAACAATAGTTAATAATTGGAGCAGACTATAATCCCGGTTTCTGAGTTTTGAAGGCAGCCAGTCAAGATTTCTAGATGTCAGGCTCAAGGCATCTTCAGATGGAGTGAGGGCAGACACTGGCAACCTGATAGAGTCTCCTGGTTTGTAGTTTGAATGTCTCTGGTGACCTTTCTGAGTGGCCCACACAGCAACAGGCATGAAGATTGTCCATTTATGAGCTGTTGTAATTTCTCTGAAGTTTATATCAAGTTGTTCCACTTTAGCTTGCATGGCTTTGGGAAAGGGCAGTTTTAGTTCTCAATGATTCCAAGTCAGAGGATGGGAGAAAAACTGGAAATGTTAGTTTGAAGAGCTGTAGCCAGATATTGGAGGAAACCAGAAGAATTCAGTATCCAGTCCAGTTTACAGATAGAAAACAAAACCTCAAGGACAACTAACAACACAAGAATTTGATATCCACAAGGGTGTATTACTGAAATATAATTTTTTTCTCTCTACGATCATCCCCATTTCTATCAGAGAAAATCAAAATAAGACTAATTTGTAAAATAAGTCTAGTCTCATTAAACTTGGCCTCGTTATTCACATAAGAACAGCAAGAATAGTGATTGACCATACAGGTTCTTTTAAGTCTGTTTTGCTGAAACTTTTCATAAGGAGTCTCAGATTGAACTTTTAAAGGCCTCTGGAGGCTGAGAAGCCAAGCCAAAAACTTGCCATCAGACTTTGCCTGCAATATCTATAGATGTGGGTGAATTCCTCTCTTCTCGAGGTCCCCAAAATATCCTGAAGCTCCTGGGCACACCAGGAAGTGACCTTCCTTACTCACCTGGTAAGGTGGCTGGAAATCCTGTATGCAAGGTACCAGGCCAATTTTTCCAAGGAGCTTTATAGGCTCCATAAGGTCGACCTTAAAGTGTCTGGTCATATCTGAGTTTATGTACATCTCTCTCCAACATGACATTCCAGTCAAAGCCCTGGTAATAAAATCAATGTTTCCAATTGTGTCTTGTTACACAGAGAACAGATTCTTATTGAACTTATGCAAATAACCATATTGCCATGAAAATAATAATACTCACTGAGAGTTTTTTAATTCTGGAGGGATCAGGTAGGGAGAAAAAGTAATTGTTTCATCCTTGTTCAAAAAGATATACTTACCAAATTGCTGTAAGTCATAGACAGCTTAAGAGAAGAGGTTTCCTTGAATCTGGGGGAAAAAAAAACTGACAAAGATTAAAGAACCAACAATGTTTCAAACAAAAGTCATTAAAAATTATAATCATCCTCATCAGTTCATTCAGCCCCG